CCCCCCCCCCCTCCCCCCCCCCCCCCCCCCCCCCCCCACCCACCCCCACCCCCCACCCCCCACCACCACCAGCCACCACCAGCCACCACCAGCCACCACCATCACCATCACCAGCCCCAAACCCACCATATCATCACCACCATCAATACCATCATCACAGCCACAACCACCACCACCACCATCATCACCACCATTAATACCATCATCACAGCCACCACCAGTGCCATCACCACTACAATCACCGCCACCAACAACATGACCACCACCAACATCATGACCACCACCAGCATCACCAACACCACCACCGCCGCCACCACCATTGACACCACCATCACCACCAACACCACCGTCACTACCATCATTTCTCGACCTCTGCTTCTACACCTCTAGACCTTAGACGACAAGACACACAGTTGGGGTCTCTTGCCGGGAGAATGTCAGAGATATAAAATCTTGGGCCACATCAAGCATTACAAGAATGGTTACTCTGTACTCATCCATCCCGATTTTAGAAACCTTTCAACTTCTGCAGTTCGCAAGTTCTATGCACTCAAAAGCTGTGGGGAAGGAGTCACATTCTGCTGTTTTCTACTGTGATCCACTGACTGCATTGGAAGCCGTTTTCATCACCGAGTCAACTGGGTGTGAATCAAAAACCCGGACCCTTGAAGGCCCTGAAAGCGCCTTTCCCCTGGTAGGTTGACCTCGCTACTATTCTGTTCATTCTCTGTCCGCGAGGGTTCGATCCAAGGCCAAATAAATGAACAACAAAAAGACCCACCAAGATCATACAAAATGTATTGATACCCTAGCCTGTACAGTAAATATCCAAAAATTTGAACAAATGGTTGAGCTGGCTTTGAAGAGTAAAATTCTGAGTGAAACAATGGCTCGGTTGAAAGCCTACGGGGTACATAAGGACTTGGGGCGTTCACAATGAAACATAAATCAAGACACCCATGGGCTCTTCAGCAAGCGAGGGGGGTCCATGCCAGGTCATCAGCACGCAAGGGTGCGCTGCGGGGTGGTCTGGCAGGAATTTGTACAAACAGGTTTTTGTGACATTGATATGGCGCTGGATCAAAATCAGAAGACCTTGGTTGAAGATCAAGCTACTTGGACTAGTAGGGCTCCAGGTTTTGAACCATCCCCATATCTAACTATAGCGACTAACCTTGGATGCAGGTAAGGCCCACGGTGAGTGTGACAAGATGAGATCGCAAGCACCATGGACATTCAGAAACGATAGGTTCGAAGCCTCCATATTTATTGTCTGAACATCAAAAAGATTTACCCGCCTAGGGCTCCTGTCCAACATCCTCAGAAGATAGTCAGACCCCTTTGGAGCCCTTCAACCATATGCAACTGTAAAACCACATGCAGATCATCCAGCTTCGAAAAGCAGGTTCTCAACTCAACCGATATGCCCTGAGAACCGCAGAATGTGTGTAAACTTGCGCCTGCAGTGCTGCAAATCTGTGGCCAAAATATCTGCTCGTTCTTGTAAACTGCTGGTCTGCACCAAGGAACCTGTCAAGAAAGACTTTGGCGGAACTCTTGTGGTGA